GGGTGGTCTAGCTAGTCCAATATTTGCAGATTTGACTTTGACCTTCCTCTCTGTAGATTTAGGTATATATAATCCTCTTCTTGGGTCCATGGCCAAATTGAAAGTTGTTCCCACTAATCCTGTTGCAGTCATTTGTGTACTGTGGCACTGCTGGGAAGAAATGAGATCTTTCTCATCTTCACCACTTACCTTATTGCTTGCTTTAAGTTTTTAACTATTTTCTTAAATTGTCCTTAAGAGTCATGAGGTATTTCTATTTTTAGTTTTTTGTAAGAAACCCCCACACTGTTCTCCATAGTGGCTGTATCAATTTACATTCCCACCAACAGTGCAAGAGGGTTCTCTTTTCTCCACACCCTCTCCAGCATTTGTTGTTTGTAGATTTTCTGATGATGCTCATTCCAACCGGTGTGAGGTGATACCTCATTGTAGTTTTGATTTGCATTCCTCTACTAATTAGTGATGTTGAGCAGCTTTTCATGTGCTTCTTGGCCATCTGTATGTCTTCTTTGGAGAAATGTCTATTTAGGTCTTCTGCCCATTTTTTGATTGGGTTGTTTGTTTTTTTTTAAATAGAATTACCATATGACCCAGCAATCCCACTACTGGGCATATACCCAGAGGAAACCATAATTCAAAAAGACACATGCACCCCAATGTTCATTGCAGCACTATTTACAATAGCCAGGTCATGGAAGCAACCTAAATGTCCATCAACAGGCGAATGGATAAAGAAGCTGTATGTACATATATACAAAGGAATATTACTCAGCCATAAAAAGGAACAAAATTGGGTAATTTGTAGAGACGTGGATGGATCTAGAGACTGTCATACAGACTGAAGTAAGTCAGAAAGAGAAAAACAAATATCATATATTAACGCATATATGTGGAACCTAGAAAAATGGTACAGATGAACTGGTTTGCAGGGCAGAAATAGAGACACAGATGTAGAGAACAAATGTATGGACACCATGGGAGGAAAGTGGTGAGGGGGGAGGAGGTGGTGGGATGAATTGGGAGATTGGGATTGACATGTATACACTAATATGCATGAAATAGGTAACTAATAAGAACCTGCTGTATAAAAAAATAAATAAAATTCCAAAAAAAAGTCATGAGGTATATGCTTATGTTAATAGAGATGAAATTTTAAAAAATCTATTAGTAATTCAAAATGAATTACTAAATCCAATTTCATAGAGGCCTTGAGTTTTCTTTTCTTTCTTTCTTTTTTTTTTTCTTTTGGCTGCACAACACAGCTTGTAGGATCTTAGTTCTCCAACCAGGGATTGAACCCAGGCCACGGCAGTGAGACTGCCGAGTCCTAACCACAGGACCGCCAGGAAATTCCCCCCTTGAGTTTTCTTGTTTGAGAATTTGGTTTAATAATTCACACTAAATCCAAGCACCAAAAATTCAGAAACCTTAAATGTAATGCTATAGGATTAAGAAAACATTCATGTATCTTAGGAATATTGGTTAAGAAAAGCCTGCTTGCTGTTTAGATCTTTGCTACCTTTGTGACCTTAATCAAGCCATAGAACTTCTCTGGACTTCTATTTACCCCTTTCCAAAAATAGGGAACAGGCTAGTGGTACCATATGGTACCTCCTTCCAGTAGGTATTTGGAAATATCTAGGTTTGTTTAGTTGTCACAGTAACTGAAGAGTGCTACAGGGCAGGGGCCAGAATGTTAGTTATCCTTTAATTCATGGGACACTGTTGTACTATAGAGAATTGTCCTGACTGAAATGTCAATGACACATCCCTTGGGAAACATCAGCAGATGATCACTAAGCTTCTTTGATGTCTTTCGGTTCCTGTGGTCCCTGAACATGTGTTGAAAAGTAATGATCAAAATAAAAATTGCCTCTAGAAGAAATCTCATTTCTTTTTTCATATCAGGAAAATACTTAATATAGAAGATAATAATGTTAATATTTTAAGTTGTTTTTCAACGTCCTAAGCTTCTTGTATGACTGATTGATAATTGCTGGCAACATTTATTGAAAATACCTACATGAAAAGCTCATTATCCACACATTAAGTTTAAAAAAAAAAACTTAAGAAAATTTTAGAATAGATTTACCATAAAGATAGTACAGGAAGTTCACATATAACCTGCACCCAGTTTCCAAAGTTTTTTGAATACTTTCAGTGAGAGTACTGGTGGTGATAGTCGGTAAATGGGATGGAAGAATACAACTAAGAGAATAGGACTTAGCCTTGCACCACAGAAATAAGACTACACATAACCAATCCTTTCAACTATGCTTCTATAGATAAATCAGTTTTATGATGCGTTTATTGAGACAGAGGCCAGATTGGCCCATGGTAGGGAAAGCTCTTTCCTTAATAACCTTTTCAGTATTGAAGTCACTGGCTCCTCAACGAGATGAGGAAAAATGGAAGAAAATTCTCAACAGGCTTTGAGTTCCTAGGTAGCAGAGGCTATGTCATGTTCATTTTTTATATTCAGTATCTAGCACATACTAGGTGCTCAATAAATATTAATAAAACTAAATTGTAACGCTGAGGAAGAGAACAGAAGATTGTCCCACTATTTCAACCTTTTTCTATAGATAAATTTTCATTTGCAGTGCATTTATACAGTTAGTACAGGAAATAATTTTCTTTGAGTCTTTTCACACATTGCTAGTTATAAACCTTTACACTGTGTAGCTGAGAGCTCACACAAAACATGCTGCCTGAGATTGTCTCTAGAATTGTTCCAATTGCTACAGAGAATAGAGAACTTACCTCTTGTTGCATGCATGGAATCCTAGATATAGTTTATTTCTATAAAATAACTAGATATTGCATTTTCTTAGATGCAGGGAAATTCATTTTGCTATATGTGCCAAATGCATTTTCTTGGTACGCTAAATATGGTAATTTCCAGGTTTTTTGGAGATGAACTCTGCAGCTCATGAATTATGTAGATCCTGGTTTCTTTTCTCTCAAAGGTCACTCTTCAGTAATTTTTCATAACTAACTACATATCTACCTTGAAAGAGTCAGACAAGGGTAGTGAGCCTCTGAAATTTTCATGTAGCAATCCTTATAAAGATTTAAAAGTCACAGAGGAAGTAAAAAGTATGCCTCACGAGAGGCTTATATATTACTTTTAAATTTATTCAAATGTTATCACTATTATGGATAGTTGGTATTTGATGTTAATAATTTATACAAATGTTTCTATTTCTTTTTTGGGCCTCTCACTGTTGTGGCCTCTCCCGTTGTGGAGCACAGGCTCCGGATGCACAGGCTCAGCGGCCATGGCTCATGAGCCCAGCCGCTCCGTGGCATGTGGGATCTTCCCAGACCAGGGCACGAACCCATGTCCCCTGCATCGGCAGGCGGACTCTCAACCACTGCGCAACCAGGGAAGCCCCAAATGTTTCTATTTCTTAAAACCCAATTCCAAGTGGCTTGAGGAAATAAAGAAATTTACTTTGTATTTCAGGGTGACTGAATCCAGGGATTTAAATAAGCTCTTCAGGATTTTCTTTTTCCTTCACTTATCTCTTTTCTTTTATTCTTGTAGCTTAATTCTATTCTACTACCACAAGCTTCCTTCATGAAGGATACATATCATTCCATTTAGTACCCCAAAAGAGAGGACTTGTTTATTTAGGGGTATTACAGGGCAGACTGAATACCTAGCTTTAGTTCTGCCCATTCCTCTGCTACTTCCTGTGGCCAGTGCAGTGGACAATCATGGTTGTCAGGCCTTGGTCATGTAACCATCTCTTGGTTCATGAAGCTGTTCCAGGCTAGGGTCAAGGAAGGACAATCACCCAAAGAAAGTGAGGACTCCAATACCAAACAAATTTAGGAGAGACAAAAAGATTATGGGAAGATCAAAAAACAAAACGAAACAAAACTCAAAGAGATTTCTATTATATTTAGCCAAACATATGCAACTACATTATACCAATAGTCTCTGGTAATGATAATGAGTTGATTCCAATGTCTTTAATGGCAGTGCCCAAAATATTTTCTAGAAGTTAAAACAGACAACTATCCACATTCTTTGGAAAGATGCTAACAAAGGATATATTCATAAACGGTTTTTTCAATTCCCGATTCAGTGGGCTGGGCATACATTTATTACATTTGGTGGTAGACTGCAGTAATGAGTAATGAGTCTTCTTTCTGAGGTCAATGGTTGTCAAGTCTTTTGATCTTCATGATTATGGTTTTAATTACCTTTAATAATCTGGGTTCTTCCTTATTTTAGAATCTTTACCATCAATTAAATGCATTTTCCTTTTGATAAAATAATTCATTTTACTATAAAGTTCACGTTGTTTTAGGGAGTATGGGCCTTGACAACCTGGAATAAATATGAACTTAATGAAGCACTGCTTTTTTTACTATATAGTTCAAGTAGCATCCATGCCATTAAGGTATCAGTGTCCAGCCGCTGAGTGCAGGTGCTCAAATAGCATTACCCTTCATTTAAGATTCCTTGAAAGCTGATGCCAGTCTCTCTTAATGTACTTTTTTGTCTAATTTTAGCATGTTTGTTAGAGACACCTGGGTGCTCAGAGATAGTTACTTCCCATAGCTTGAAAAATGATTTAGCACATTTTCACAGGCTGTGCTATATTTTCTGGCTTAAAATTATCATTAAAATTTTTTTGACCAGTTATATAACATCTTTCGTATTTCTCTCGTATTTTGGTATAGCCATAATTGTATATTTTATTCACTGAAGGACAAACATTTTACAGCACATTAGTGAATAAAATGTCTTGGTTTAAAAATATATACAGATTTGCATTGCAGACACTTTTCAGGACATATCCTAACCTCTTTAAAATTGTGGTGGTATCTTAACACACCAGCATCTCAAGATTATATTTTTAGTTCAAGTAATATAAAACACATTTTTTGTGTGCATTTTTGAGATATAAGGAAGCATTAATGCCTTAAAATAACCAGATTAGGGGCTTCTAGAAATATTCCTTTTTTGGGGATCTGTGACTTACCTGTCCTCTTATGTTTCTCCTACCACTTTTCTTAGTGGAGTTCTCTTTTTCTGCTCATTCTTTAACTGTTCTCAGGTTTCTTTCTTTGTCCTCTTCTCACTCTGTATCATAGATCATATATCAAACTGGTGACTCCATAGACCAAATCTGCCTACAGACAGTGAATAACAATAATAATGTTGATAGTGATAATGAAAATAATAATAATTTGGACCTTGCAATATTTTGAAATAAGTATATTCAATATTTTTAAATTGGGGACTACCCATTAAATATGTTTTCAGCTTTTCCTGAAAACACTGGACCATTTGGACAACCTAAGCTAGTATTTCTACCTGGCAATAGTTAGCTAGAGCTGCCCATTTGGATAGGATATGTACTGTAATCTCTTCCACTTACTACTCTCTTTGCTATCCTTCACACATTGACCTTAAGCCTCAGTTATTGCTTACCTCAGTTATTGATTTTCTTATAATAGAGAAGTATTTCTTGATATCCATTGTTTCTATAAAAAATTGAAAAGTGAAAGACCAAGAGAGCTTTGTGTTTTCAGGAAAATTGGAAGAATGCAAAAATTAATGTGCAAATGGCAAGTTTATCCTCTTGTCCCTGAAAGATTTCATTAACTTCCATAAGATTTCAGCTACCATTTTCAATTAATGTTTCTAAATATATCTCTCCCATTCAGTTATTTTCCCTCACCTTCTGACCCATATATCCAACTGCTTGCTCAGCATCTGTGCTTGGGTGTCTCATAGACATTTCAAGCATCACATGTCTGATGTGAACACATCAACTTATTCATCAGACTTGCTCTTCCACCTGTGATCTCCCTTGTGGCAGCTTGTACTATTGTTTCTAATTATTCATTCTCTTCCTCCCTGTAACAGGATTGTATATCTCCAGCCACTGCCACGTGCTGACAGTGTTTTCCTTGGGAGGAGCATATTTTCCCACACCACAGACACCGGGCTCTGCCATGGGCATATCTTGGCCAAGGAAATGTGAGCAGAAGTCACAGTACACTCACCAGAGCAGAAACTTTTATACAAACCAGAGCTGGTTGCACCAGCTCTCTTGCTCTTCTTACTCTCTACATTGAGAAGATCAAACCACACATGAGTGTTCTCCTTCTACCTGGGTCCTGGAGTGCAAGTACGGAACAACTGAATAAAATATTTTAAAAAATGTATAACTGTAGGGAAGGCCTTAAAGTCCAGAAACAATAAGAAATTATGAGTCTCTCTCCCGGTCAGTGCTGAAGTCAGCATTTGCACTGAGGGCATCTGTTGATCCCTGGCAATTTAAAGTTTTATTTTAATGGGTAGATTGTCAGGGTCAGGAACACTTGGGCTCATATGCAACGTGAGAGATTGGAGCAAGACACAGAGGCAAATCCAGGAATTCCAAAGGGAACACGTTAAGGGGGTGAACTGTCTTAGCCAGGAGATGGTGGTTATTAAGATGCTTACCTTTCTTGGCCTTTGTCCTGGATAAAAGGGAAAAAAGAAAATTCTTTCCTTGAGTATTCTCAACAAGCCTTCTCTCTGGTTTGGGGCCAGAATTCATATGCCCCATATGCCTGGGAAAAACAGAAGCCACAAATTTATGTGAAAATGGTCCTGGGCTGGTAGTATACAAAAGTTCTAGGCATTTCAGCAGACTCAAATGTCCTATAGTAGAAAGTGTAAATCTCAAAGAGCACAAACATAACCGCTTGGGGCTGGGGAGCACACCTGTGCCTGTCTTTCTGGAGGATATAGTATAAATATAGAGCTGTCTTTTTTTTTTTCCAGTCATTTGTTCTTCACATCATCCAGGCAATTCTATTCATCCTCACCTTCAGGCTTCAGACCGGCCTCTCTGGGGACTGCTTTTGATTTAACATGACCCCACAGGAGATCTCAGGATGAATCAGAGTTGGCTTTCAGTTCCCTCTCCCTCTTGCACATCCATCTTTCATAATTCTGATCACTGATGCTCAATCACTCGGCCAAGTTCTTGCCTTCAACTTCCAACTCTCTTTGTGCCTTCTGCTAAGATCAACTCTTGGATGATGAATAAGTTCTCTTTTTCCTTTTTAATATTTAATAGGTAACTGTTCCTGTAAGCTTTGCCTGAATTCCCAATTCTGATTACTTTGCTGCAGACCTCAGGCTTGGCCTCCTTCACGTTTGTACGCTGCATCCAGTTTTCCTGTGTCCTGGACCCCTCTATTAGCGGGGAGGCCAGAGGCTAGTCCAGCTGCTGTGTGTCCTATTTTGCAGCTATACCACTGTTCATTCAGACTTAGCTTGTAGCAAGAGCCAGGCTGATGGAAACTGAGGGGATATGGAAAATTTAGAATCAAATAGGACAGGACAAGATCAGAAAGCAGAAGAGGTTCCACCAAATGAGGCAATACTGAAACAAGTATTGAGAATGGGAGTAGCCAAGGAATGAAGTTAGGGAGAAGAGACAGGGAACAGTGGAAAGGTGAGCGATCCCCGTTGAATATTGGAGCAGGGGAGGTTCTTTCCTGGTCTGTCCTTTAAGTTCCTTCAGGGACATTTGGAAGATATGCCGTTTAGAGCTGGGGTGAGCAGACAGCTGATTCTAATTTCCATTCTAGCTTACTCTGTGCTGATAACCTTACTCCCACCCATGGGCCAGAAAGATAGAGGTACCCTGGTCATGTACGGATCATCTGAATGTTTATTTAGTGGATTCGGTCTTAGAATCTCAGAAGTTTTAGAGATAAAAAGGTTTTTAGGAATGTTCTAATAACTCAAGGATTTTGCTTTTTGTTTTTAGGGGTGACTTTTTATTGATACATACAATAATGGTTATCCTTTTAAAAATTATTATTTATTTATTTACTTTTGGCTGCGTTGGGTCTTAGTTGCTGCGTGTGGACTTTCTCTAGTTGTGGTGAGCGGGGGCTACTCTTCGCTGCGGTGCACGGGCTTGTCATTGCAGTGGCTTCTCTTGTTGCAGAGCACGAACCCTAGAGCTCACGGGCTTCATTAGTTGTGGCGCACAGGCTTAGTCGCCCTGCGGCATGTGGGATCTTCCCGGACCAGAGATCGAATCCATGTCCCTTGCATTGGCAGGTAGATTCTTAACCACTGCGTCCCCAGGGAATAACCAGTCGTTATTGATACAAGTGTACAACTCTTGGATTTTTATCAAGGGTACCCATCCTAACAACCACCTAAATCAAGTTATAGAAGACTTCCAGTACCCATGAAACTTCCCTCATGCTCAGTACCAGACATTATTCAACCCCCAAAGTAACCACTATTTTGACATCCATTAAAGAATTTTTAAAATGTTTTTCTTTCTAGCACCTCTAGGAAATGTCTAAATAGTAGACAAATATTCACTAAGCACCTATTATGCACTAAAAAATGTGAAAATTGTCTCCCAGATAATCAGTGTCTGATCTTTTCTTTTGCACAAAAAGATGGTCTAGGGCTCTAGCCTGGAAGGGAGTTTTGAGATCTGGGCCTGGATGTTGGAATGGAGCATGCCAGAAAAGGCAGTGTCCATGACAGAACTTGGGTGGGGATTTCCATCCCTCTCCCAATAAAAAATTTAAAAATTATCTGAATAGATCAGTAGCTTCAAAAGGATCAAGCAGAGAGCTGAATATATAACACTGAGAGCTGAATATATAATATATCACAGAGCAGAGGCTGGCATCCAGGACAGCAGGGGGCTATTGGGGTTAAGATGTGTGGCTAAGAGGTAGAGCCTGGAGAGACTGCCCTGGGAGCCCATGTATAGAGTCAAGGGGTTTCATCTATGGGTGATGAAGCCCCAAGAACAGGGTTCTTCTCTTAAAGGTTAATTTCTCTTTAATGGAAGCCTCCCAACTAACAGTATAAATATGGGGTGACTTGGTGAGCTGAGACAGTGCAGGTCTTTAGCTGCCAAAAACTGTGAACAGCTTCCTCTTCTGGAGGTCAGTTTTTTGGGTGGTAAAGGTAGAAAAGCAGGGGAACAAAACTGCCAGTAATACCTGATGTACCCCAGTACCTCACACTTCAGAGCTGTGGGTAACACAAAGTTCCCTTGGATACAATACATCCTAAAACCTATACCCTGAGATGTGTCTTATCACTGGATCGCTGGCCACACTTCTATCCTCAGAAGGATGCACAACTTTTCAAAAACACTGAGGGTGTTTACAATAACCTTTCTGCCTCATAGCAAAAGAATTATGAATAACTTTGTTTTAAAAGGCTCTAAATGAAATATTATGTAGCTATTTCACTGTTTACTACAGTTTGAAAATAGCATGGAAACTGTTCGTGTTATCATGTCTAACTTTACAAACAGATTATGCAGACATCAGGCTTATAACTATATTAAAATGGCCACAAATAGGAAAAAAGTAAAGGGGGGGTAGTATTTTAAAATACCATTTCTGGTGTTTTTAGATGAACAAGCAGTGATTCATTTGTTGTTGTTGTTTTTTACCTTTACTGTGTTCTCCAAGTATTCTTTAATGGACAGATATGTTTTTTTAAAGTGCCAGTAGAATAATGTATTAAGTGCTAAATATATGCAAAATCAGAACTTAGGTACAGTAGGAATAAAAAGATGAATAAGAGAAGGGGCCTTTCTTAAGAGTTGTATTGTAGCAGGGGAGATAAGACTTACACACAAACACAATACATAGTAGGACGTAGCAAATGTATTAGGAGGGCTCAGAATAAGTGCTGTACAAATGCAGGGAAAGACAGGATTATGACTACTGTCTTGAGTCATTTTTTGTTTACTTTTGATGCATGCAGGTTGGCTTTAGACCAGTGAACAACAAAGCTAAATCCATAAAATAGATCTCTGTGTACCATTAGAACATTTTATTTACCATTCATACTCTAGAACCTTGCTGCTGGTAGTTTATTGAATCTTTTTCTCCCAGATTTGGAAATGTGTTCTAAAGGAAGAATAAAGGTAATTTAATTTCAGCAGACCTGTTTTGACATACTCTAATTAATTGGAAACACATCTGGGAATTACAGTAGCTTAAAGACAACTCTCAACTCATTTTCTGGTCTAAAAATAAATTCACAGTGAGTTTTAAATATGAAAATAACCTTTTATGAGGCTTTTATGGTGAGGACTTTAACGGCTTCTATAATTTACACAATGGTTTATAGATGTTCAAAGGCTGAACTCTTGACTTCCTGAGTAGCTCTGAAGCATTAAAAAAAGAAATCTCTTAGCAAATATAAAATCTCATCCTACTCTTTTCGGAATGGTCATCTAACATCAAGATGGAAAACCATACATAGAGAATAATAGGATGAAAGGACATCAAATATTGGTAGTATCTGTCATTACAATTTAGAATACAGTATTGTGATAGTTACACAGGTCACATGGAGATGCTATTCAAAGTATTTCAATAATAGGATGGCAGAATGAATACAAAATACAGTTAAGCGTTTTATTTTATTATTCACTTTTTATGCTTTATTTTAGGTTATAAAGAGAGATAAATGGCAGGTGCATATGGAGGAAAATGGAGTTAAGTAACTAGAGTTTAAATTAAATTATTCAGAATAAATATATTAGAAGTATAATGAACAATATTAGCATTTTGGGAATTACAAAAGAAGAGGACAATTAAGCATATTTTGATGGTGCTTTGAATTCATTCATATGGAAATGTTAAGAAGTTTACTTAAAGAGAAAGAAGAAATACTTTCTTTGGTAGCTACATATATCTGTATAGATAAATAGTTAACATCAAACTTTTAAAGGAATGTTTTGCAGGACAAAGACTTCTTCTTTTGCAAAGACCTCTCCATGTTCTAGCATACAGGTCCATTTCAATAGTATTGTGAGGTTCTGGTAACAGTGACTTTTCAACTCTACTGACTACAACCTATAGAAAGAAATACACTGTAAAATCACAGTATTTGAAGTAAGCCAAGAAAATAATCTAGTTCATTCCCTCCCTTTGAGTCTGACTCATGTCAGCTATTGGCACAGATGTGAAGCTTTTCTATTCTTAACGCTACTATGATTCAGCTCATCTGTAAAATGAGGCTAATAAGATCTGCCTCATTAGAGCTAGGATTAAACCAAAGGATGAAGGTAAAAGACTGAGTATGAGCATCTAATACGTAGGAGGTGGTAAAAAAAAAGTTGCACCTATTACTTCTATTATTATTAATGAACTAATATGGTAACCTCTTTTAAACTGTGAAAACATTTATTTTTCAAGAAACATTTTCTCTTATACGTCGTTTAGACAATTGAATTCCCCATGCTACAATTCATACTCTACATCTAGCACTTAATGGCAATGTCCTCCCCTTTGTTTCATGTTTCTCTCGGCACCCTTCTGTCATCTTCCAATCGTATGAGCTCCTTCAGGGTAGGAGCCCTGTCTTATTCCAGTTTTATCCCCAGTGCAGAGCACTGAGCCAGGCACAGAGCGAATTCTTAACACATATTTGTTCAATGAGTGTGAACATGCAAATATTTTAAAATAATATCCTTTTATTCCTTTTTTACATTTTTTTGGAAAAAGTAATATATACACATAGTTTATAAATGGAACATATATAACAAAATACATTT